CAGTTTGCGTTCGGCCGCTATCGCGTGTGCGATGTCGGAGGTGTCGTAGAGCATGTCAGTTAATAATTATTATTGTGTTTATTCAATATTTTTATAGTGTTTTAACCCGCGTAAATTCGTCCGTTATCGTTATTACTCTTGACTCTTCTCGGATTTGTTCAGTTTTATACCTTCCGTCTACGTTTTTAAACCTCTGCGACCTTTACCTATACTACTGATTAATACTCGTGGGAAAATCCCGAAGAACATTTAACCACCGACCGCGTGTKGAAACTCTGGTGGTTAAACATGGATACCATCAAGGATTGTGTTGATTACTTTAAAGACCCGGAACTGGTCGCCCGTTTTCAAAGGTATTTCGGAGTGATGCGTTATGACTCTTCGGATAACGGTGTTACCGTTCCATCACTGGACAATGAGTCTAAGACTAGCAATGGCAATGYGATGCGCAAGTTAAATGATGTCAATCACGCCATCACCAACAAGTTTTGGTATTATTTGTTTTTGTTTGGCACATACCTTGGTGACGAAATAGGATACGCCGTCATCATACCATTTTTGATATGGAACATAGACTCAGCCGTTGCTAGGAAAATGGTTCTTGTCTGGGCGGCCGTTATGTACATTGGTAATCATATTTGTTATTAATGCTTTAACAGGATTTCTAACAAWGTTCGGTTTCATGTTAACTTGATATGTTTAGGGCAGTCCATTAAAGACATAGTACAGTGGCCAAGACCAGAATGTCCTCCAGTCATTAGACTGCAAACTAAATGGTCTATTGAATATGGGATGCCTTCAACCCATGCTATGATTAGTATTGCATTGCCATTTTCTGTTTTATACTACATTTCAAATCGATATCAAGTACTTAATTTCAAAGATTTTTTATACTTATAAACAWTTATTAGTTTTATTWTMTTTTTTTCTTTTTTAGATTGACTTTACCATTGGTATCATAGTGGTGTTTCTATGGTGTATGTTAATTTCGCTTAGTCGTTTGTATTTGGGCATGCATACAGTATTGGTAAGTTATTTGTTTTATATTAAATAAAAATAATATATGCCTACCTATCTAATCTAATTTTAACGTTAAATAAACAATCATTGTTCAAGTCACAAAAGAATTAGTTCATYGATTTTCAAGGTTCATTGTACTGTTTAGGTTATCCGATTTGGCGTGTTAAAACTAAACAGTCTCAATATACCTATGTTATAGATATATTTTTAATCAAAACCAAAGGTAAAAAATCATGTCATTTTGGAAGCAAATTCATTATTCAAATTAAATGTTATTAAATGTTTAATATATTGACCTTGTCTTTTTTTAATTATCATGTATTTCGTACTATGTTGTACCTATATGAGTAATTGTGTTTAAAGAGTTTGAAATCTACAAATAGTTGTTTTCT